TATTGTGCACACCGTCACCGAACGTGACTTCCCCATTTGAATCGGGCTGAATGTTCATCAAGTAAGAAGGTTCCTGTAATACCCTGTTTTATTGTGGATTATTTGGGAATGATTATTGATTATTGCTAATATTAATTGTCTTTATTATTATTATTATTATTATTATTATTATTATTTGTCAAATTGTAATTATTTGTCTAAATGCATATTTTATTATTATTAATATTATTTTAAAAATATTGTGTGTATTATAAATATAAATTTTCCATATTGATTTATTTTTTCGTCGTCAAGAGAATTGTTCGATATTAGTCCTCGGATATGGGCCTCGTCTAAATTGGAATTTTATTTCAACCCTTTTACTATGTTATTTAAGAGGATCCAATATCTAATATTGTATGTAGTCCAATTGGCCAGTGGCCCATTGGCAACAAACCCTTTTTTCTCTCTTTTGGCCCAAAAAGATCAATTTGCTGAGTCTTCAGTTCTCTTCCCTTGCGACCGAGTCTCCTTAAATCTCAGGAAGATCGAAATTTCAGTTCCGATTCTTTGGTGAACCTAAGCGCACGTTCTCCCCTTCCCTCGCGCGATCGCTCCTCATCCGTTACTTAAACCGTGCAACACCCAAATCCCCCTCAATCCCTCAATTCTCTCAGACGAAAATCGATTTTGGTACCTGCTCCGCCAATAGGCTTCCTCGCCATTGTCACCGGCGATTACCACCGTGCCTCGTTGCAGCACCTACTCCCGGCATCCGTTCGTGAGCCACAGTCGCCGTCCTGTCGCGATCCCCGTTCGTCGAGCTTCTGCAATCAGCCGTCCTCCATTAATTCCGGCGAGTTTCCAAGCAGCGTCCCGCCGTCGCCGACGCCTTCGCCGTGAGTGACCCGTCGTCGTCAATTCCAGAGCAGCAACTGTTCGTGGGCTGCGTCGCCTTCAGAGGTCTCGAGCTTTGAGGCTTTCGATCGCCTCGTCTGCTTTCTGAATTCTCGCAAATTCCCGAAGTCGGGTAATTTATTCCGAACCTCCGTCGATTATCCCTGCGTATTTTGATAACCTGTTGATTTTATATTGCTAGTGGAATTGTTGTTTTTGGCTCGCATAATCGTTGTGTTCGTCGGATAATGATTGTGAAATTGTCATGGATTTTCGGAACTCTCGACTTAATTAAATCGAGTCTGTTTAATTGCTGCAAATTAGTAGTAGATTCGGAGTCTCGTTAAATTCTTCCGAGTTGTTATATATTCATCGGTCGTATATGCAAGATTGTCCAGGCCGGTTACGTGTTGCTCGGACCCGGTTCTTATAACTTTTCGAAACTCTAAAGGTGTATGTGATATCAAATTGTTCAATGTCTTGAATCTGTGGTTTTGGCAAAATTCATTTTAAAATTCAGATTCCCGTTTTTATGGATTGAAGCCTTGTCGTAGTCGTAATGTCGTTTGATCGTTTTCGAACCAATAGGTGTCGTTTCCTATTCCGAACAAACCCGTTTTCGTAAGTTTTTCGAACTTTAGGAAGGGTCATTATATGTTGAGTAAACTTCTGTGAAAATTTTGCTGGAAATTAGCAGCCTGGAAATTTTGGTTTAATCTGCTACTTGGTCTCTCTTTTCGCAGTCTTATTTTGGTTCAGTAGCAGGTTTATTCAAACTTTTATTTTTGTAAAGTCTGTAAGTTAAATCGCAATAGAGCGTGTAGCTCAGTGGTCTTGAGCGCGATCTTCCCTGCGTGAGGTCCATGGTTCAAACCTTGAGACCTGCGTTCTTTTTATTTTTTTCCCATTCCTATTTTCTGCTCCCAAAATGAGCGGGCCGCTTGGCCCGATATCGGCCCACTCGCGGCCCGCCTTCCAGTCAGCTACAGAAGCCCGCGAGCCCCTGCTCCAGCCCGCGCGTCCCTTACTGGTAGCTGGCCCAAATTTTTAAGCGAAACCTAGGCCCAATACACCTCCCAGCTTGGGCCCAGTTCGTTTTTAAGCCAAATTTTGTGTTCCGGAGTCCGTTTTTCGACCCGAACTTATTTTTAAAATTATTTTCAAAGCAGAAAAATTTTGGAAAAATTATTTTAAGTTCCGAGACCCCAATTTACTTCTCCGAGTCATATTTTTCAAAAATGAGAGAGTTCCAAGTCCACGAAAAATCCAATTAAAACCCGTAAATCTTAATTTTTATTAAGTATGGGTTTTATGTTAAATTCGAGTAGTGAGATAAATTAATGATAAATTATCTCGCTTAAATGTAGGTGTTTGAGGAGTCGAGCCTCATCCTACGTGCTTGCTTTTGTGTGCTATTTTCTACCGGAACTTCCAGGTGGGTTGTAATCGTAAAATTTACTATGCCTTAATTAATTATTTTTGTTGTTGTATGATCAAAGTATGCATGTGAACCATGTAGCCTTCGATGTGAGCTATATTGGCCGTCGAACGGTTATCCCCGTAGCTATAGAACGTACCTTCGGGTAGTCTCCTTTATTATTGTTGACAGTCAGGGCGTGAGCCTTGGCTGGTGATCCTCGTATGTAAGGCCAAGGCGTGAGTTTTGGCATTCGGGGTGGATTATTGCTCCTGCTGGCCGAGCACTCGTTGTAAGGCCTTCGAGGAAGGCGTTCGGTATATAGCTCGGCAGTAGTCTATTGTTATAGGTGTGCACATGAGACCATTATTGATTATTGATAGGAGATGGGACGATTATTGATTCGTTTACATGCTGCGACCATACTTAAATTGTTTTCATGACTACTGAGATTAATTATTGCATAGCGGTGAGCACCTCGACTTTCCTATTGTGCTCATCCCCACCTGCTCTTCATGGATGCAGGTTAGTTTATGCGGCACGGCGGAAGGGATGCGAGTGGTGGTCTTTAATTTGAATAAATGCTTCCGCTTTGAACTAAATTTGGATATTATTGCATTATTATTGACTATTGTTTTTCTAGTACTGGATTATTGATAGGGATTATTTCCCTAGGATCATTATTGGATTATTGATTGATTATTGGGATTTTCTTATTGATTATGAGTATCGATAACTGCCGAATATTGAGAAAATTTTGAGTATTGATTATTGATTTGAAAATGAGTAGCGCCTCGAACATTGTTTTTTTGAAATAAATTCGAAAAAAATTTATTCTGATTTTCGGTAAATAAAAGTGGGGCGTTACAGTTCCCCAGTCATGTGTCTAGAGCAGCTGCTGTCCAGATACCATTTACCCTTCAAGGAAGTCCTGAGAGACAGAACAGAGGCAAAACAATTGATGGATTTATTAGCAACCCACACTTGATGAGTTTTGGCACGGTTATTTGGGAGGGTTCTAGCATGAACCTTCACTGGAATGCCAGACTGATTCCAACCCCTATCATTACCTGTACAAAGAGCTGCATTTTATAACATTTGGGTCTTATGTGACCAATTACACCACAGTAATGACATAGAAACAAAGTTATGGTGAGCTTTATTAACAGATTTCTGCATAGGAGAAGGAACCTTCAAGGGAGATTATGGACATAGAGGTTTATTTACAGTGCTTTTTACAAACATGTCAAACACGTTTTTGGAAGGTCTTCCATGCAGGTTCACACCTCTAATTCTAAGTTTGTCCCCAAATCCAAGGCCAGCATGTTGTGTACTTGAAGTCCTGGTTGAGGATTCTGGATGATCCTCTTTTCTCGTGTACTCTATTCCAGTAAGATCACCATGTTGATTCCCTCCAGGAGAGAAGTTCATTCAGATCTGCTTTTCTCTTGTTCAGTTTTTGAACGACTTCTGCAGTTCGGTTTAACTCAGCAGAATTTGCCTTCAGTTTGCTTTCCATGCTAGCATGTTCGTTCATTAGCCGATCAACTTTATTTTTCAGTAGCACGATTTCCTGGTTTCGCTCCGCAAGAAGTTTTTGAGTAGAGAATAAATCAGACGTCAAGCATTCAATGGTCTTAGCCTTCTCTAGTCCGTCTTGTTTAGCAAGTTTGACACTGCTCTCAAGGATGCAGGTTCGAGCCTTTGCAATATCCAGTTCACACTCTTTAGTAGCAATGGATGCGGATGCTTGTTAGTTCAGTACTCTGTTTGCTCTTGAAAGTCTAAACACTTCATTTTGAAGCTTCTGTAGAGCTTCAGATGCTTGAGCACACTTTTCCATAGCAAGTATGTGAACTGGATATACACACATGTTGATCTGCTTCATCTTCAGATGCTTCAGTTTCTTTTAGGCTTTCTTCAAACTTGGTCGAATCATGAGAAGTGGTGAGACACATGAACTTCTTGACTGAAGAATGAACTGCCAAGTTGCTAGTGTGAAAAGAAGGTTCGTCTGTGCCTTCTTCATCTGAATCTTCCCAGGTTGCCTTCAGTGACTTATTCTTCTTTATAATATTAGTACACTTATACTGAAAGTGTCCAAAGCCTCTACAATCCCTGTATTTATCCTTCTCAACTCGTTGTGAATCGGATTTGGAGAGTGGCACACTACTTTTCTTGTCCTGCATCACATTCTTGCTGAAATTGTTCCCTTTTTTTTCAGCAAATTTGTTCTTGTACAGCCTTTGACTCATCTACCCATAATTTCACGCGATTAGAGCTAGTGCTTCTTTCAGCTCACTATCATCTGCCAACGGACCTTCATCATCATCGCTTTCTTCTCTTTCCTCGACTACGGCAGCTTTGAGAGCTAAGCCTTTACTTTTGACTTTGTCATAATTGTTGTTGATTTCAAATGTCCTGAGCTTTCAAAGAAGTTCATCAACATACAAAGACACCACTCTTTGGAAACTTTCAAGTGCTGTGATTTTCTCTCTAAATCTGGGGACGACAGTTCTCATAATTTTTTGTACTTGACGTTTCTCAGAGATTTCTTCTCCAAGCATCATACTTTGATTCACCAGATCACATAATCTAGCATAATACACGTCAATTGTCTCTTCATCTCTCATTTTGATCTCATCAAATTCAAGAGTTACCCGTTGAAGTCTAGATGCTTTGACAGCTGTTGAACCTTCGAATTGACGCTGCAGAACCCGCCAGGCATCTTTCGCGGTCTTACAATGAACGATCATCTTGTGTCTTGTTTTATCTACTGCCATCATGATTGCATACAAGGCACGATAGTTGGCTTCTTCTTGAAGCTTCTCAGCATCTGTCCAATTATCCTTAGGTTTAAGAACCGAAACTTTCGTTGATTCTTTTCCTTGATCAGGAGCTTGTTTCATGACTGGATGCTCCCAGTCGTTTTCAACTTTCCCACACACCTTTTCCAAGCGATCTCAGGACATCGATCCTGCATCCTTGAGAGCAGTACGAGTGAGCTGAAAGAAGCACTAGTTCGAACCGTCTAATTGCGGAGGCCTGGACATCGATCCACTTTCTTGATTCATGATTTGAGGGTGACACACGTCCTAGGATCTTACGTAATGAAGACGTAAACCCGCTCTGGTGCCAATTGTAATTTGATACTTGAACACCAAGTATCCATAGTTGCACGAAAATCGTATAGACAGACAGTAATGAAGATTCAAACAATTGCGGAAGCAGTTTTCACTAAAAATTGAACCTTCAGGAGAGCGTCTCATTCTCCCTTCAGATCTCTTGCATTAATGTGAAAAACTCATACATCATCCAAGTATTTACAGTATAGACTCTCTCTACACTCTACTTGAATGATGATTCACACAACTACTTATCCGACCACAACTCCCTTGTGGATTTTTCTAGTTCGAATACCTCAAACTAAATTAGAATGAACCTCTGAACATTCTGCTACAAAAACTTATATGTTCTACTTATCATTCCACAAAAAAATATGAAAACTCAAAAATCCTGAATCAAAAGTGATCCTTAACTCTGGTCTCGTCTTTCTTTTATCTTCGGCATCATTTGGTAAGTCTTTTCGCCCAAGTCATAAACACATATGGAAGGTAAATCCCACGATCTTCTTCTTCTTGATTTATGGAAGGTGAATCTTCCCATTTGATCTTGTTGACCTGCAAGAATAAAACAAATAATCAGTCAATTTGACTTAAATAAAAAACAATACTCATTTATACCAAAAATAAACTTCCCTTAAATACTCCCGTAAATTTCTGGACTCTGTGATCATCAGAAGGTTCATCGATTTACTGCCAATTTTTAGTACTTACACTATCAGTTACTTGCGAAATAAGAATGGTGATTCACAACCTAGATGGAAATGAATAATCCATCGCGAACGGTTGTAGTGTTAACTGTATAGTTGGACTTTACTGATTAGTTACACTAGTACATTTTGTGAATTGAACTGTTCCTAAAGAGGAGAAGTTCAGTTTATATTGATCGTCTCTTAACTTGTAAGATATAAACAGGCATGTGCATGCAGTAAATATAACTTTGATTCAGGAGGGTAAGATTCGGTTTATTGGATCAATATACATAATATTTTGGGTAATATTATTGTATGTATGAAGTGTCGTGTTGACGAACATTTTCGGTCAATGGTTAAAATAATGGATAACGTAAGTGCAGGATTGAAAATAAGGAAAATATATAAGTTAATTATGATTTTATTAAACGATCACAAGGTCGACATCTCTTACGAGGTCGCCACTTATGATATACTTAGAATTCTTACAAGAGATTTCTTATAATTTTAGAAAAAGAAAGTAGAGAGAAGGCTGAGTTAGTTGAGATTCAACAACCCAAAATAAATGAGGTGGGTTGCTATTTATAGTATCCTTAAATGAGGTACTGTTCACCGGTCTTGTCGAACAGTAGTCCAGCATAGCAGTTCGTCGCCTCCCTGACAGCTATTTAATGCAATTTGAGGTTTCTTCAATCATTGCCTGTCAGGAATTTAATGTAAGCATGGGGGGGGGGAGCATTTAATGCTGGCAGACTTTCTGACTAGGCTTGTTTGTAGAGTGACAGGCTATGAAAACCCGTCCCATCATCCAATGATGACCTCCCAAGTGGGAGTATTT